GGGGGGGGGGGGGGGGGGGGGGGTTCAAGATGCTGTCTAGCTTGACGTTGAAGGTGTAGGTCTTTGTTGAGTACTAGAAGGACGGCACATGGCTCGAGGCCTGTAAAGACAGGATGCATGAGAGCTGGTGCCATCCGTCGTCACGCACGTTCATCCCGGCCAACCGACGGCCCAACCCGGAGCTGGTGAGGGTGCATGACACGAACGTGGTTTTCGCGCCGACATATGACACATGGGTACGTTTTATTTTCTGTTAAGTAATATAGTTCAAAGTTTTTATATACTTATACACTTTCGATACAGGATTGTTTCTAGTGGCGTCAAAATACGGGCACGCATTATTCAGATATGAGCCGAGACAAATCCTCCCACTTTGCGGGATCACCGGCAGTAGTGAGTATATTCGTCACGACGCGGAAACTTTTCCAGAAATTGTAAGGGGATTTTTTCTTTTCTGTTCTTATTCCGGAATTGTAGCCTCAAATTCTCAGGTCTGTTTGCCCTCGGTCACGACCATCGCTAATAACAACCCCAAAGAACTGCCCGGCTACAGTGTGACGGGGGCTTTGTAGCCTAGCTCGTCGCCATCCTCTTGGTACACAAAACCAACTCCGGGTATGTAAAGATACGATCCTCGAGCAGCCTTCTGCGGCTCCGCAGCCGTGTACTGTTTTTCGGAGCGTTCTGTCCGGGCATTGCTGTCGAGCTTGATCTCGACGAGTTGTGGTGATTGCGGTCCGATGGCGGAGCCACTGCTGATCATCTCAACCGCGGGGGGCTCGATGGGCTCTAGAATTCCTGCAATGCATTAGACTAGAAGAATGAAGGGAAAGAATACGAAGAGAGCAGGATGGTGAAAACTTCTGACCGTCGTCGCTTGGGGAATGCAGCTGGGTAGACGCTGACTTGAAGGCGTCGTGGACCAGAGCGCAGGCCTGCGCGCATGAGAGGTCCACGCTCTCCTCCGAGGAACTGGCTTCTGGCAGATCCTCCAACGGCTCGGCGCTCATCAATTCTGTGCCGGTGATTGAGTTTCCGTCCCCAAAAAGGGTATGTGAGCTTGTGCTCGCGAGGGCTTTGCTGAGTTGCACCACCATCTTGACGGCAATTGGGGGTTGGCGATGATTGTGCGCAAGTGGTGATGAAAGAAAGTATCTGGGGGAGAGAACATAAACTACCAGTCAACAAAAAAAAACATTTCCTGGACGCGCCGTTGGAATCGATAAGTCGATATACATTGTCATGTGGTGGCAGTTGGGGGGCTCGTAAACCATAACACGCAAAGATGAGGCCAAGTGACGCTATTCACGGAACCGTCTAACCTTGAGCTCTAGAGCTCGTCATAGTTAAGTGATGTATATACATGTGACCATGACTACAACCAAGTCGTCCGGTTGCTCTGCGCTCCGGGATCTGACAGCCTCTGAGAAGAGTTGTTCACCTCATCACGATATTTCCTGACCAACAGCCTCATGTAATTCAGCTCCAGTAAACATTCGGCAATAAACATCTACTTGATCTAGATACAGCCGCGTGGTGGACCAGGCCATGCATTGCACTGGTACAACCTTGTTCCTCGAACTCAAGCCAAATCGGCTGGTCAAACTCTTACTTTGAGCAGAGAGAGTACCAAGTACCGCATACAAGAACCTGCCTGTCCAATCCCTTCTTAATCTTCTCTCATTAAACGCACTGAACGTCGCCGGTGTTGTACAGATACATGTAGATACATGTTTGCATATTTTACACTTTCCCCCCGCCCCCGTTTCCCCCAGCCTCCCCTTCAAGTCGTCAGGAGCGTCAACACGCCCTTCCTCCCGGTCCTCCCCAGCAAGCCCTCCCGCATCCCCATGCGCGCCTCGACGTCCCTCGGCGCCGCTCCCGCATCCACCATCCTCAGCGCGTCCGCCAGCGTGCGCGCGTCCACCTGCCGCCGCGCCGCGCCCCTCATGCCCACCCGCAGGAAGCGCTCCTCATCCTCCTCCGCGCGCTCCTGTGCGCGCCGCCGCGCCTCCAGCGCCGTCAGCGTCGTGTTGGCCCGCGACGACGGGAAAATGGGCCGGCCGGGCGCGGCGGACGGCAGCTCCCGGTGCGCGTCGGCGGCGCGCGAGGAGGGTGAGTAGGTCGGGTTCGGGTCGACGATGCCCATCTGCTGCAGGCGGCTGGCGAAGCCGGCGGGCGTGAACTCGGGATCGGCGGCGCGCGAGATTGTTTCTGCACGGTCGGGCCGTGTTAGCTTCGCACTGCCTGGTTGGAGGGGGGGGAGGGAGGGGGAAAAGTCGTACCTTGGTCTGGGGAGAGGTCGGACGCCGCGCTGGGCTGCGGCGAGGCGCGCGGTGGTCGACTCGTCGTCTGGGCCACGGCGGAGCCTGCGCTGCGGGCAGGAAACTTGCGCGGTGCGCTGCGCGCCGCCTTGGACGAAGCTGAGCCCATCCTGTAGTGAGTGTGTGTTTGTGTCTGTCGTGGGATCGAGTATCGAGAAGTGGCGAATAGATCGTCAATTGCTCGCGGGGTAGGAGCTGAGGGCTAAGTTCTGGTCGATCGCTAGGTACTTTTCTCTTTCAAAAAGGAGAAAACTAATGGCTTATACAAATTGCGTGCGGGGTTTGGCGCGAGAAGGGTTGACTGTAAAAGTGCCTATGGAAAAAGATGATCGCTTGCCTCTCAAAATGACGACACGGACAACTTTTTTGTCCGAGGTATCCACATCTTTGTACTCCAACTAACTCACTTACACGACCTGCCCAGTTCTAACTGATTCCCCTACTGAATTGTTCTCTCTGTAAAACGGAAAAGTAGTAATTTGATGAATGCCCAAAGGCTCTATATTATTAAGGATTGTTATGTAGTTGGTAATGATACAATATCTTCGTAATTCATTCGTGCCATGAAAATCAGTCAATGTGCAATCCCACCCCCTTATTATCCAGTATTCGTAAAAAGTCATTCACAGATTGTAATGCATTTTCTTAGGGTTTTTTAGCGCTCAGCACTTGGTGATGTAGAGACCAATCGGCGAGGGGTTGTAGTCCTGGAAGTACTTGAAGTCGGTGTTGCCGGCCGCCGAGATCTCGTAGGCGACGCGCTGGCCCGCGGGGCAGTCAAACGTAGCAATGCTGTACGAGTTTCCGGGGGCGACTGTCACTTGGCCGAGATCTGCCGCCTTGCCGGGCTGGTTGTTGTAGGTGGTGCCCTCGGTGGCGGCAGCCTTCAGCTGGGTGAAGTCGAGCTTGCCGTCACCGGAGAAGGTGAAGCTCGATGTCTCCAAGTCGGCCTGCTTGGGGAAGAGGAAGACGAGGCTGCACTTCTTGCCCTGGTCGCCGGCGGGGATGTCGAAGTTGAAAATGGAGGAGGTGTCACCGTTGACGACGCCGAAGTAGGAGGTGCCGGCTGCCGTGTCGGGGCTAGATTTGGAGACGGGTATGATGAGATGCGGGAACTCGTACGGGCCGTTGAGGTTGGTCGGGCAGGTCTGGGCGGGGGGAGGAGGAGGCGGAGGAGGGGGTGGCGGGCAAGCGGCGTGGCAGCCGTCGGCCGTGAGGGTGACCTTGCCGCAGTTGGCGCCCTGGTCCTGTTTGTTGTAGATGTTCCACTGGCCCTGTTCGCCGGTAGCGCACTCGAAGAAGGTGGTCTGGCCATTCCAGGAGACCTTGCCGTCGCAGCCGATGGTGAATCCGGTGTCCGGGGCTTGACCCTCATCACACTGGAGGACGCCGGTAGGGGCTATGATTCCAAAGTCAGTTAACTTGGGTCAAAGGAGAGAGGGTGGTATGCTTACGAGTCCACCAGCATCCGCGGCCCTTGTCGTCGGTGAGCCCGCCACTGGTAAAGGTAAATGTAGAGGACTGGACGCCGTTGCCAGCGCGAACCTGCCCAGAGGAGATTTCGCCGACGCAGCCGACGACGTCGCCGCCGGCGCTCAAGTGAAGCTGGCATCCGCCGCGGACCGCGAGGCCGTTGGCGACGGCACCTAGGCTGAGAGCAATGGCCGCAGACTTCATTGTTTGTATCTTACGGAGGTATATGAGATGTGTATCAGGTGTAAGAAGTGAGTGTGTAAGTGAAGAAGTAATTCGTGAAACTTCCTTTTTTGGTGGTGAGTCTGGGCTGTTATGGGGATAGAAATTCGAGATGGGTTCGAGTACGGGATACCCGGTCATTTATATACTTGAGCGGTCTGTCTTTCTCACTTCCTCTTCACATCATTTCTGAGGCTGGGCAGGGCAGACCGGGCGCTGCGGAACCAAGCTTCCGGGGCTGGCTGGCGAAGGAAGGCCCGCCCCATGGCCACTCTGTACGGCTGAGAGTTGCCGATCATCACGATACATCCGAGAAGAAGAGTAAAAGTGAAAATACGAGGCCGGGTCTGCAGGGCAGACGTCATGGTCGGCCGGGGGGTCGTCAATGCTGGCCAGCCTGCTGGGAAGGGAGCAGGTCAGACAGGTTGTCTCGGCGTCGGCGGGCTGTCGCGGCGACGAGCAGACACACCCATGTTGCAGTGGAAAAGGTGCCAAGACGCCAAGAGCTCCGCAGGGCTGGTGTTGAGCTCGTATTCCCGGCGATAGATGGGAATATAGTGGTGGGATTGTCTGTGCATGGACGCCTTCAGGCTAGATGCGGCCAAGTGGGATGGCTGGTGGCGAGCACGGCGGAGGAGGGGAGGACGAGGGAGAAGCCGCTCCAATGCTGAGAGGAAATGGCCAGCGAATTATGGGGAATCCTTGCTGATTCCACGTCGAGATGGGCTGGTTTTCGGCTGATGGACAGCCCATTTGCGGCGAGCTGGATGAGAGCTGTCAGTGTTGACTTGTCTGGTCTGGATATCCGTAGGCGGGCTGACAATGAGGCTATAGCGGGGATGGTGTGGTTGTCAGGCAACACAATGTAGGGGGTAGATAGTTACCCCAGCACCGGTCAAACTTTTGGTATTTCAGTTTCCAATCGTTATTGGTGTAATTCTTAATTCTACAATATCTTGGTCAAATTCAATATTCTATCCAGCTTCAATTGATACGAATAAATCAGTAACAGTGTGCCCGCCACCACTTGCCTCGTCATTGTTGCCCCGCATCAAGATCCTGCTACCCTGCCACCAAGATATCCATGTCACTTCGCTCGCTGGCTTCCTCTCCTCTCCTCTTACAAACGCCCCCGCTAGTCTTGTTTCGCCCGACCAAGACGCCATCAACTTACCAGATATTCCTACATACATCGCCAAGACGCCCAATCCATCCGGTTCTCCCGCTTGCCTGGTAAATGACGTACCGTGACGACTGTGTAAAAAATTTGGAGGCTGCGGCTGACATCATGATGGGAACCAAAACGAACAGAGTACCATCATTACAACATCCAGCAGGATCGAAACAACCACGACAACAAACCAAGAGGAGAGAGAATCCTCTCGTACCCGAGACCATCATCGACAAAAGCTGAAAAACTGCAATGCTGGGTGGGCATGCATACTACGTACAGCACCCATTCTCCATCGCGTTATGATGTTCCCTTGTTGTCTCATCCACAATGGTTTGTCTCCGGTTTAACCAGGAGCATCCCTCCAGCCTTGTGGATTTTTCCGACACAGCTCGCTTCCGCTTCTCTCAACAACCTCACCGTCCATTCTACTGGCCGACTCGCCCAATACACTGGAGCCCGCTTGGGCAGACATACGAGAAGATCGTCGCACCGACAGCTGGCCCAACCACCAAGACTGGCAAGGCCGCTGAAAAAACCAATAAACAGGCTTTCAGGCCTTCTTGGGCCTTAAAGCTCAAAGCCGCCTATTCCAGCCACCGGCATTGCTGATCCGATCGTCGGTGGTGACATTGTCTGCCTTTGCTGCCCACACCAAGCAACCAAGGTGCCATCACCACGTCGGCTAGGCTTATTATGCCAATGGCTTCCCCGGTAGTTGTTACCATGGACTCCTACTAAATCGCAAACCGCTAATTTCCTGCCTAAAATAACACATTCCCAGAGCTTGGATCGCCTTCTGGTTCCCTCGTCGTTGATTAATCAATCTTGCCAAGCATCCATTTTCCCCGCTTGTCGTCTTGTCCTCCCACACGCTCCCAAAAGAGGAAATCGGTTGTCGAATGACGTCGGCCCAGGATCAACATCGGAGCCTCGCACCGCAGGAAGCGCCTCGCTCCGGGGAAATGCACTTGGCTGCTATTTTATAGGAGCCGCAGATGACGCAGGCGGATATTGTAACTCCGTAGGCTGTAGCACCACACCACGGCTGTAAATGGCTTCCGAGTCCCGGCCGAGCATAATCGTCATCACTCGATATGTTAATAATTTACTGCCCGTGCTTTGGGGGGAGGGGCGACTCTCACACCTCCATGAGTGCACAAAAGTCTGTTCGGCTTCTCTGTTTTGAAGAGGGCCTCTGAGCGGAGAATCCACCACACGTGTAGGCTTGCCTGACTACAACCAATTACAGAGTCAAGGTCCATTGAGTTTGAGGCTGGCACTAAAAGGCACAGTGACAGAGTGAACTTAACGCTTGATAAATCTACTCTCCACGTTCCAGGTTTACGTCCACCCTCCTAGACCCTGCACCACGGGCAGCAGCCGTCTGGCAAGCCAACAGGAGCTTAGCAAAACAGAGGGCCACTTACAAAAACGTACCGCATGGGAAAAGAGGATTGGCAATTAAAGTATCAACATAGAATGAGCGAGCACGCCAACCAAAAATGTTCAGATGATGCTTTGCTAGTTCCTCTCAGCCGCCGCCACCAAGCAAGCCGGCCAAGCGTGTACATGGCATACAGCTTTCCGTGTTGGCGAGCCTCATTGCCATCCTTCCGCGACGGGGACCCGGGGAACCCGAGAATTATGGCCGTCTGGTCTATTCTTCACCTCTTAATTTCTTCTATTTCTCGGTTTTCCTTTCCTTCTTGTCGGAAAAATTGCCTCAGCGAGCGGAGATGCGTGACACCTCAGGCTGCCCTATGCCGTTCCCGCCGATCCTATCACGGATACATTCCTCATCCAACAGGGTACCTCCCGTGGGTCGTAGGAAGGTGGCGATTGAAGAAAGCGTTCAGCTCCTGCTCGGGGCGTACACATCCTGAACCTGCCTAATAACGCCTCGTCTGACCGTCGCGATCAAGCAACGAACGAGGTACGTCATGGGACCGCGATATCTTGCCCAAACGAGCCGTGGCTTGCCTCGTCAAGGCACATTTCAGACAGGCATTACAAGTATTACAAGTTTCACAGTTCAAGTCCTTTGAGGGTGTTAAAGTGGTTGATCAATTGTATGCATTTGTAGTATAGTGCAGTAGTAGCTCGTGTCATCGTGCTGCCAGCGCCTCCACTGGTCGGCCTTGCAGGTCGACCCACGGGCACTGTTTCGGTCATTCCTTCAAATCCCGACCGAGCGTCCAACACAACAATTCGAAGCGGCGATTGTGGGAGGGCTGTACTCCGAGCTGGCTGGAGCTCTTGGACGCTTGCTCACGCCACGGCAACCTGTGGTGCTGCCGTAGACTCTGCTCCAGGGAAGCTTCTCATGAGCGCCCTTAGAGCGGTCCAGAACATGGCGTGGCAATCAGCCGGGAGCGGGCATCGATGCACCAACTGCATCAAATGGCTGTGGGTATCTATCGTCGGATTGTATGCTTCACCTCTTGATGCGTTTGCTAGAGCGGGTGGCACGGACGGAAGGCTCAGGCTTAGGCTTAGGCTTAGGCTCAGGCTCAGGCTCAGCTGCCTCTTCGACTTGCTCTTCGGCCTCGTCCTCCACCTCGGCTTCATCCGCGTCACTCTCATCACTGCCAGCACCAGTCGTGGCGCCGAAAGAGGCCTTGCGAGAAGGTCCGTCAGTGTCGCTACCGAAACCCTCGAAAGAGTCATCATCATCATCGGCTTCACTGCCTTCCTTGTCATCTTCATCCTGCACCCTGGCCTCAGTTGCTTCATCGAAAGCCTCCGTCTGGGTACGCTTCTTGGGCATCTCGCCAAGGCGACCCTCGCGGCCAGCTCGCGTCTCGCCGTTCGCATCGGGGCTGATGGGAGGGGGCGTGAACCAGGGAATATTGCCACGCATGAAGTCGTTGAGCATCATCTTTGCAACACCGTCCAGGTCAGGCTCACCGCCCTTAAGAAGACGGCCACCCTTGCGGGCCAGGAGCTCGAGTAATTCAGTCGCGTTGCTCCAATTGGTAAGCTCGTACGTCTTCTCCATGTGGCGGCGCTTCACCTTGCTCAGAAGAGCAGGGATGTACTGTTCAGGATTGTCGACCTTTTCGACACGGACGACGCCGCGTAGAACAAGATCGGTAGGGGTGTCTTGGTTGGTGGGTGGAACAACACCAGGGCAATCAATGAGGTAGATGCGCTTCATCAGCGTAACGTACTGCCAGACCTTGGTCTCGCCCGGAATGGGGGCAACAGTGCAGACCTTCTTCTTCAACAGAGTGTTGATGATGGAGGACTTGCCAGTGTTGGGACCGCCAATGAGACCGACAGAAATCTGCTTTCTATCTGAGTGGAGGACAGAGAACTGGCGAAGAAGCTGGATGAGAGAGCCCTTGCCAAAAGAGTTGTTGATGCTGGCATGGAAAGCGAGGGTGGGATACTCCTTTCCAAGATGTCTAACCCAAGCGGCCTGTAGAGAATTAGCAATGAACTCGCGAATCTTCTACAAGAAAATCATTTGAAATGATGAAATGTGTGGGTCATAACTACGAAGACTCCTGTAAACTCGTCCGAAGTGGACATAGGAGCCTTCAACTCAATTCGACCCAATACCTTCTCATGACGGTGACCAGAACGGTCACCAATCTAGCCAAACAGCAGAACGCTGCCGACAGTCGAGCATGGCGGTTACTCTCCCAATGTTGTAACAGACAAACCTCCGTAAGAAAATCGAGAAGGGGTCCTGACAGGAATCATTGGGGCCTTTCGGCCAGAAAAGGGGCAACGGACGCAGAATGAAAAAAATTGAACTTACACAGACACCAGTGGGAACCAGATCACACTTGTTGAGAACGAAAATCAGATGCTTGTGGGGAGCCTCCTCGCGCAGATATTTTTCAACGCTGCGGCATCGGGTGCCAATGGGGTCACGGGCATCGAGGACGTGGATGACGACGTCGGACGAGTCAATGACCTTGTACAGCTCGTTCCAAATACGCTTGCTCTGGCCCTTGTCGAAGACGGGCTCAATGGCCATTGCAAAGGTGCCATCATCCGGGTCGGTGGTACCGGACTCGCCGCTCAGCAGCTTGGCCTGCTCAAGGCGCTCCTCATAGGTGTCCATACTCTTCTCGGTACCCTCGGCAAGATCGTCAAGGTTGGCGACGTCGAGCTTGACGCGCTTACGCTGGGCTTTGGGGCCAAAAACACCAGAAAACGGTGCCGTCTCGAGCGTCATTTTGGCCTTGTGCTGCTTGAGGCCGTTGGTGGTGTCTTGGCCGTCACGGATGAGCGTCATGGGCAGCTTGTTCGACTTGAGGAGCACGGAGTACGGGTCCTTGGCCTTTTCCGCCATGGCCTCGCGGAAGGCTGTGAGCGTGTCCTGGGAGACGACACGGGTGTTGGAGAACCACTTGCGGTTCGGCTCGATGACGGCCGTGGGCACGTCGCGAGACTGCCATGTGGCGGCCTTTGTGATCTCGCCCTTGGCATTGCGCTGCGCCTTGCCCTCCTTGTACATGTTCAGGTGCTTAACCCTCTTCCCATCGCTGTTAGGCAGTCATTGTCAGTTACCGTTCTGTGGATATGCCGCAGCCGAGCTGATTGGGGGAGGCTTACCGATAGAAGTTTTCGCCCTTGACCCGGACGTTGGCCATGCCATCGCCGGTTTTACCCTGGCGAACACGCCGGGTAGCCTCTTTCTTGCCGGTACCCATCTTGAATGAGGCTTGCCAGAGGATGGGGCAAGACAAGAGACAGTTTGAAGAGGAGTGAGAAGAGGAGGAAAATGTAACAGGATTCTGCCCAGAACTTTTTTTTACGTCTGCATATTGGCCCCCACTTCATTTTTTTCTGCAGGCGGTGTGTGGGGTGGCTGGTAAATTTTTAGCGGGCAGCCAGGGGAAGCGGCGGCAGTACAGTTAATCCGTCGCCAGGCTTGCTACGATTTGGTAGGCTAATTTTCCAGGTCAAACCACCAGCAGAATATCTTGTGAGCTTTCCGATCAACTCTCACGACAATCGCCTTTCTCTCCCACAATGTCGCTCCAATCGACATGGTCCTGCCTTCGGCCAGCCGCCTCTCGGCGTGTGCTGTCAGCAGCAGCAACGTCACGAGCGGCGTTTAGCACCACGTCCTCCCTCAGCAACATCCCCCCCGAATCACCGTCCTACATCCGGCTCCCGAAGGTGCCGCAGTCTACCGAGGGCAAGCCAGATCGGATACGCGGTACTCTGCCCGTGCCACGTGAGATCTTCGACCGCCGCGATGGCGACCGCAAGGTGCGGCCCGAGTACCTGACCCAGACCGCGCCGCAGCGCACCACCGACCGCCCTCTCAAGAGCGACGCGCAGCGGTGGAAGAAGCAGCTTGCCGACAGCCGCCGGAAGAACCTGGAGGAGGGCCTGCAGGGCCTGTGGCAGCGCTACGAGACCCGTGAGAAGGGGCGCGCGGCGCGGCGCGACCGTGCGGAGCGCACCGTCCGCCTCGCCCGGGAGGCCCCAGAGCCGCGCGCCGCCGTCATGACCCGCGGCACCGTGCTGGCCGCGGTCGCCGATCGAGAAGGCTGAGGTCAGTCGGGCGCGCGTGCTGGCGCGCGAGGACGCCCGCCGCGACGCCCGCCGCGACGCGCTCATGGAGCTCTACATCAACGCGGCCGAGGGCTTCATCGTCACCGAGACCGACCTCAAGGACGAGATTGACCGTCTCTTCCACGAGGACTACTTCCGCAAGCAGAGCATCAAGGGATACCGCCCCGGCGCCACGGAGAACGTCTGGGGCGTCCACGGCAAGCCCCCCGGCGTGGCCACCATGTTCGAGAGTGTCACGCGGACCTCGACCAACCTCGCGAGCGCGAGCGAGTCCGAGTTTGATCACTCGGTCAAGCGCACGAAGAAGATTTCGGAGGAGCTTACCGGCGGTAAGATGGCATAGAGGCCAATTTGTATAGGGATCTTCAGAACGACGGAGCATGTACCAGATGATGCAGAGTGCATCGTGTGTAAAATAGCCAGTTTTAGCATGTACATTTACTATCCAACATCATTTGTTTCCATTGCAATCATGCTGCGATTTATACCTTTATTGTACTTTCTACAATATATACCAAGTTTGCTAAGCAGGCAACAGCCATGCAAAAACGCCAAAGTCTAACGATGACGCGAGCACCCCAATACAAGAAGCAGGAACACGTCTATCGCTCTCCACAAATTTGTATCTGCGTATACTCTGGAGAGTCGAGCAGTAGCGGTAGTTTATCTGCGCTCAACAAGAAGTACGTGCATGGCAGCATAAGCCAGGACGATAAAGGCAGCTGCAAAAATGCCCAAGTTGCGGATATCATACCACAAAGCACCGTTCTGAAAGCCAAATGTGCTGAGGATCGTGGCGCCAGGTACCTTGATTGGAATGCCGACTTTTTCGTCAATGAGAGTAAGCTCGACTACTTCATTGACGATGAGCGCTTCGAAGCCATAGTGGAAGATCGATATACTCTGCAGCCAAGCAGCACTGGCTGGGATCTTCTCACGATTGAGCAGAAAGCCGGCAAATAGGAGGCTGAACAGCATGACCAGGCTGCCGATGAGGTTCGCCACACCGCCGTCCTTGAAGATGATGCCAATGAACAGGCAAATGGCCGCGGCTGCGAGGTTGAAGAGGACTAGTACAATGATAAATTTGATGAAGTGAGGGAAGTCGGGCACGAGACCAGTCATCGGATACAGAATGGAGCCCATCAGAATAGGCGGGATGATTCGCAGGGGAACAATATCGAAAAGCACCTTGGCTGCAAAATAGGTGGCCGGCGAGTAGTACCCATTAGCTCGTTCACGCAGGAAGAGCAGCCGCTCATTCGCAAAGACGGTCAAACTTGTGAGCGTGCTGAAACCATACAATGCCAGGAGGAAGAAGAAGAGACCGAGTCTGTTCTGGAAGCCAGGAATATCATCGGTGAGGCCATAGAAAAGGAATCCAGCAAAGACTGCAAGAACAATGGCAATGGCGTAGTGAGTCAGCATCAGCATCGGATTTCTGTAGAGATTCTTGAAGGTTCGGTGTGAAAGAATGATGAACTGGCGAGGGTAGCTGATGCGATTGTAGCCCTTTCCGACAGCGCTGACATTGATGTTCGGCCCGTCCACAGAGTACCCGTTCGCGTTTGAGCCATTGGCATCTCGGGCAGCGGCAACCGACTGCTGAATTTCCTCTCTGGTGCTGGTGGCAATATGAGACTCGGCAAACGCGTTTGATAGAAGATCGAGGTCGGTGGCAGACGACACATGAGGTGGTAGGTCGTGGTGATCTTCTGGAAGCTGTCCGAGGGCGGTGACGGGATGTTTCTGGAGCTTGTAGGCTCCAATTTCCTCGCCCCCAGCATCCGAAGATGCAGCAGTGTCTGCAGTGCGCCTGCGTGTAAAGAGCTCGCGTTCTTGTCGAGTGCGAATAGAGTCGGAGCGCTTGGCTCTGGGTCGAGAAGACGAGCTCTCGGATGGCTCATCTCCAATGCTGCCTCCGGAGACACTAGCAATCGATTTGACGGCTCTAGTGCTGCTTGGCCCAACACTTGCGGTATCAGCACCAACAGTGCCGTCATCGAAGGACTCGGAACGACTGGCATGCATCGTAAGATCGACAAGGTAATCTGCAATATTGAACCCGGGCGGGCATTCATAACCAATGTTGTCAAAGTATGATTGGCAATCCACAAATTTGCCAGAGTAAACGGTCTTGCCCTTTGCAAGAAGGACCAGTCGATCAAACAAGGCGACAATGTTGGAGCGTGGCTGATGAATGGTAAAGATGATGGTTCGCTGATAGTTTTTAGCCAATGTTACAAGACACTCAACAACGTTATAAGCGTTGAAGGCGTCCAAGCCGCTTGTCGGCTCGTCAAGAAAGAGGATGGAAGGGCTGGTGACCAACTCGCAGGCGATTCCAACACGTCGTTTTTCGCCACCAGAGATGCCGCGACCCTTGCCTTCCTCAGATCCAATAAGAGAATCTCTGATGTGGTAAATACCAAGTTCCTTTTCTACTTCAAACACGCGCTGCTCTTTGCTGGCGCGGGTCATGTCGCGAGGCAATCTTAGTAGAGCACTGTTCAGAATGGTCTCGTGCACCGTCAAAGTCGGAAGCATCGTGTCTTCTTGGTCGACGAATCCGATGACATTTTTGTAGTCATTATCCAGGACTTTTTCGCCGTTGACATAGAAATCACCAGACACTTGGCCGCGCTTGTTCTTTCGCGCAAGAATATCGAGGAATGTAGTCTTGCCAGCCCCGGACGCACCCATGATAGCGGTTGCCTCGCCTGGATGACAAATTCCCTGGATTCCGTTCAGAATTTGCTTGCCATTGAGAGTGTATGACACATTCTGAAACTGAAGTGATGCAGGCTTGTGGTTGGCCATGAGCTTGGTGCTCTCGTCGTCGGAGTCGTCAAGATGGATGGCACCATACTGCAGTCTGCGGCGAGCCAGATACCAAGTCACGACAATAACAGCAACGACGAAGAGGGCGCAGACCGCAATAATACCTGCGATGAGGGGAGTGTTGATTTGCTTGACAGGTCGTCGATAGCCAGGCACCTCTGTTTCGTGCATACACTCTCCTGCGCCACAAGTAAGTAGGATACTCGAGTCACCTAGCAGATCGGTCATGAGCTGGTCCATCTGAGGCTCTTTGAACGCGCAGCTGTGGGACGTATCGTTCTTGTTGGTGCATTCGAACGACGCAGGGCCTTTGATGGCTTCGTCCAAGAAGTCGGTCAAGTCCATAGAACCGTCCTTGCCACACATCATACGATCGGGGATACATGTGCATTGGATCTTTTTGCACTTATACGATGTGCTGTTTGTGGTGTCGCCAAATGTTGCGCTCGACTCGCATTCGGAGAGGTGGCAGTAGAAAGACTCGACCTGGTCAACCCAAACTGGAAGATGTTAGTACAAGGGTATTCTTGCGGTTTGGTTCAGTTTCGGGACTGACATTGGAAGTCACATTCTTCCGACACCTTATCGCAAGTAAATGTGACCTCTGGGATTTGGTCGCCCAGCAGTTGGATGATCATCTTGTTGATGACATTGCATATTTGGTGATTGGTACGAACGAGCTCACCAGTGCGGTGACAAACACCACCAGTCTCGCCGGGCATGAAGGCGTTGCAAGCGGAGTCTTGAGTACAGACGTTGCAGTTGACGCCGCCCCAGCCCTCGTCGCATTCGCAGCTGTCGCCGGATCGCATGGGTCGGTCGCGGCCACGGGCCAGAGAACCGCAAACTAATTATCACCACAGTCAGCATCAGGGCAGCTCCCAGGATTATATGCGTCGATTCTACTCACGGGGCTTGAGGCAGTCATCGCCACCAAAACCAGCAGGGCAATCACAGATGCCGTTGAATTCGTTGCAACCAGCGTACTGGGCGCAGGTATGGGCGGGGAGCAGACAGTTGAAGCTAGACGGGGAAAACAGGTCAGCAAACACAGCTCATATTCGCGGCGCTTACAATGGCGCAGCTCGGTGCTGGCTTACCATGGAGGACAGCCGTCAGGGCGATCGGTGCCACCCATGAGAGCCAGTTGCGCCCTCAACATGTCGGCGGTCGGGTAGGAAGCATTCTGCGAGGCTGCGACGAGCGCAGGCACGGCTGCGACGACGACCCCGAGCAGTATCCTCCTGACGGATTTCATGGCGCCGTTTGCGAGAGCGGTCGCGATGAGGAATTGTTGAGATGACAGCGCTTGGATGATGAAAGTGCGAAGATGGCTTTAGCTAGATGTGGTGGGATTCGAGACAGGCTGCCTCTGGACAGCTGGGCTAACCGCACACAGCTGACGGATGACAGTGACGAGTGACGCTACCTTGCTCCATTTTAGACACCACAGCGCTAGTAAAATAAAGACGCCCGAGGAATAAGGCAATGGACGGCAAAGGTTCAGCGGGTCCACAACCACAACGGCGCGCGGGGGAATCCGCTGCTGAGGATTATGGAGGTACAATAGGCAATCACTCACTGATCGAGCATGTTTTGTCTACATGAATCCGTACCAAAAGCAATGAGCTCTTGGCCCTCCAGGCACTTCTAAAACTCTTTCGCTGGCAGCTAAGACAGCTTGCGACCACACACGCTACGCATGATGTTACGGACTTCAAGGTTCTCGCTAAATGTGTGGATGACTAAGGCGGCCAAACAGGCTCTTCTCACCTCAGCCCTCCAACTTCCGTATCTCTGCCTCCTTTCCAAACAAGAAGCTGTCTTCAGCTGCCACGGATCCCAAATACGATCACCGTTCCTTGCACTTGCCAAAAATGGCCCCATCAAAAAAGCTCTTCTAGAATAACTTTACTACGCAGGCCGAATGCGACTGTTCACCCAAATCGCATTGGAGGCCGGCCCCGTCGCGCTAGAAAACACACGGCCGCCTACAGCTTCACCTTGGTCGCTCAAGATGGTCCTGTGATCGTACAATATCGGGAGAACGGCGATTCCTCCTTCCCTGAGCCAGGCGAGCCATTGTTCAAAGCCATCATTGGCGCACACGCGGGGCTTGTTCCAGCTCACCAGCTCCTCGGGGAATGTCGGCCGCCTCAATGCATCTCGAATGCCTAGACTCCCAGGAGTCAGCTTGCGCGCCATGTTAATATTCGAGCAATACGTAACTATACACTTTCATGCAGGCAGCGATCCCCTTGTGCGCAACAGACGGAATGGCGCCAGAACAGATGAGCGAAGCGGAGCGCCCAGGCAGCACTTTCCAGACCCCGACACCGCATCTTTCCAGTGGCCATTTCTCCATGCAATTGGAAGTCCTCAAGGCAATTCTGAAACTGAGATCTACGCTCTCCCCAACCATGTATTAGGGATGGGCGCCATGCCGCGTGGAATCTAGTAGTTACTGTCAGGACGCTGCCAGCCATTGCTTCAGAAGGGACCTGCGGGTTGTTATGCATGGGCAAAGAGGACTCCATGTCAAACAGACTCGGAGTTTTATCTTTCAATAAACGCCATGAACTACAAAATTTCGGCGCAAATAGGAGATAAAATAATGACGGGTTTGACTATCCGTAGCTTGCTTGGGATGCTGATTTTAAGCATATCCGAATCTGTGTTCCACCCGCTTCTCGGCCCTACCCAAGCAATCAAGCAATAGTACTAACTCGGCCTATTATTACGACTCATTTCGACTCATACTTCCAAACACCTTTTTTGCCCACTGAGCCGTATCTATCCGTACAATTCGCCTAACCGCGTCTCAAACGGCTCCTTTACCACCCCCGTGTGTCCTTTGCGACAGCCGACCTCGGGCGTCCCACTCATCAGCACTGGGGCGTTACCCTGCAACTTGGTTACAGAAGAGTCATCTCTCATCAACAACCACGAGATGTAGTGCATAAGGCCACCCACAAGCGAGTCCATCCATCGGGACATGTTCGTAATTTCTTTATATTACCGTGCAGCATAATTATACGATACGATTAGCCCAAACAGTATGGCCCATCCCTCTACATTCCCGGCTGAGCAATGGATGTCTCGTTGGTGTGGAGTAGCCGGCCTACTCAATCTCGCCGACACTTATGCTTGCCCAATCTCCATCGACGAACTGAATGGCTTATTAACAGAAAAGGACGATGGGCCGCTCATAACCAGTTCCAAACTTAGCTATGGGAGCACCAACGGTTCTTCCGAGCTGAGGCAGAGCGTGGCTGAGCTATGCAGTGGACAGGAGACGCAGCTCACGGAAGACGACGTGGTCATCACGCAAGGGGGCATCTCGGCCAATTTTCTGGTGCTGTACGCGCTCCTCGGCCCAACCGACCACGCTATCTGCGTCTATCCGGTCTATACGCAGCTCTATTCCGTGCCTGAGACGTTTGGCGCGCAGGTCTCGTTCTGGCGGCTCAAGGAGGAAAATGGATTCATTCCCGATGTGCAAGACTTGCACAGTCTGTTCCGGCGCAACACAAAGGTATAGTCGGCGAGCATGTGTGGGCGGATAATTTGCCCGGGGACGGCCCTGCTAATCGCGGCTACAGATGATCATCCTCAACAACCCCAACAACCCGACCGGCACCGTGATACCGGAGCGCGTGCTGCGAGACATTGTCGAGATCGCCAAGGCGCGGGGCGTCATCGTCTTCAGCGACGAGGTGTACCGACCGCTCTTCCACGAGCCCGACAGCGCGCCGCCGCCCATCACATCGTTTGGCTACAAGCGGACGCTCGCGACCGGGTCCATGTCCAAGTCACTGTCGCTGCCCGGCATCCGCATCGGGTGGGTAACCTCGCCGGACCGAGCGCTGATCGCGGCATGCTCGCGCCGGCGCGACTTCACGACCATCTGCGTGTCGCAGGTGGACGACCAGATTGCGACCTACGCGCTGTCAGCGGCGGTGCGTCCGGCGCTGCTGCGACGCAACATTGATCAGGCGCGGCACAACCGGCGGTTGGTGGAGGCCTTTGTGGCCCGGCACGCCGACCGCTGCCGGTGGGTGCGACCGAGCGGCGGCACCATGGCCTTTATCCAGTTCCGCGGCGCGGTGGGCGGGGCGCCGGTCGACGACGAGGCCTTTTGCACCGACCTCGTTGACAAGTACAAGGTGCTTCTGATTCCCGGCTCGCACAGCTTCGGCTGGGGCGAGGATTTCGCGGGCTACGTGAGGCTGGCGTACGTTTGCGACACGGCGGTCGTGGAGGCGGCGCTCAGCCGGTTGAGCCAGTATCTAGAGGAGCATCCGTGAGAGCGAACTGGCGACGCAGCATAAATGTAAACAAAGATTGCCATCATACAAGTTTAGCTACACAGTCAGCAAGCTAGGCGCAGCGCTCCCGGCCTCGGTTTCAGGCCGGGTTGAAACGGGGGCCGTCTCTGGAGAGAAATCGGCGAGGCTGCCGGGTGGCGAGCATTGCGTGTCCACGGCAATAACGGCAGCTGAGCCCACAGCCACGGCCACAGCCACAGAGCCATTTGGGTGCATACCTGGATTTAGCGTCGCTATGAAGTACAGGATGAAAGAAAAATCAAACGAGAAAGCATTAATAAAAGAGCTTTAAAAACGCGCATGTCGTTGGTCTTGCGGATATGCCATGACAATCCGTAGGTTAGTACCTTCGGATATAAATGGTGTTCCAGGCTGCGAACCGAGTCTCACTGCTAGCCACAGCCAGCTAGCACTAGTTACTAAGGCAGCGTGAGACTCAGCGGCGTAGCAAGCTTTCAGTTTCCTGTATGACAATTGAACGCACGATATGATAGGATCTCGTCGAGATCTTGGTGACGGCTAGCTGGAAATAATTTCTTGCTGGCTGTGGATCTGAGCTGCGGCACAACTGTCGGGAGAGTCAAAGGACGAGGCGTTGTCGGGGGCTGCCCCCTGCATGAGTCCTGAAGCAATTCAAGCTGTGTCTCTGATTTCTGGAGACAACGCAGGGTTTGGATTTGCTCCGATCGGGCTACATTAGCTCGGCTGCGAACTGCGCGGCATTGGGTAGCGAAACGCGCGAGACTCAAGTTGAGGCCAGCATTGTAGTATTTTGTGGCTGCTGTCAAAGGTATCAGGCAGACAACAGGGCTTGTGGCGCAGCAATTTCTCTCCAGTCTTGGCTGGCCCACAATCTGTACAGGTTTGAAAGACGTGAGATCGAGTAGTCTGGTATTGAATACCGAAGCAGGATATTTTCTTTGATTTCCTAAATTTCATTACTAGCCATAACTCCTAGAGGAAAGGCAGTAGCAATACCGGAGTTGGATATAGACGTGCATGTTGGCTCATGATGTCGTAACTAGCCGCCTGAGCATTCAACACACCAAGGCATCACCTCCGCCCTCCCCGGATGGAGCATCTCTTGGCGGCGTGGGCGGCATGGGTTTGCCGAGACGAGGACACATGCAGCACAAACTGCTGTCTTGGCGGGTTGAACGATACACGACATTTTTCTCTATTGAATTAACGTCGAGCAAGTATCCAACGGGCTTCAGAGAGAATCGACAAGCTAGCAAACCTAATCATTCGACATGTCAGTAACAGGGGCGAATAGGATGACGCACACCACCCTTTATTAGTGCGACCTGGAGCTCCCGATACAGCCGCAAGCCAATGGATGGACGAATGGGGGCTTTTGCTCTTTGGCCCTTGGACGGCTGAAGCTCTTCCACTTCTCCTCCGGCGCCATCTGAGTTTCGCACCGGGGCCGCCGAAAAAAATAACATGTATTACAGCAGAAAAAGAGGTCTAGCGCCTTGTATCTCCATGCATTACAGGTGCATCCTCGGCCAATCCTGGGTACATGCTAATATCAACCGGTCTCCGCTTGCCCTCGTTCTTATTGATTTCTTATACAAGTCTAATCGCACCCATGCTCCCAGCCTAGCATCGTACTGCGTCGGCTTCGCCCTGTCTGCCTTGTTCTCGTCCATTTCTTCTTCGTCTGACCAGGCGCGCTCCCACTTCTGAAATCCACTTCAAAAGGCACAAGCCCCCACGAAATCTTCCGATATCTAGAAGCTGTTACCTTCTCCCCAGCTTTGCTCACAGAACCATCTTGGACAATAGCCGTTTACTCTCTCCGCCGCCGAACCGTTGACGCCCTTTGCAACTGGCACCCGCGCCGTCATCGACTTCTCAAACACTAAATTGCACGCCACTACCCCGATACCCAAACCACACCAAGCAACTCCGTCAATTAGCAATGAAGGCTGCCGCTACGACTCTGACAGCTCTGCTGTCCGCGTCTGCCACCGCGCAGTACGTTCTCATGGACTTCGCGAAGAAGGAGCAGAACCACCTGCAGCGCCGCGCCTCCAGTGTCGAAGCCGGCATCTCCAACCTCCTGCAGGACGGAGGCTACTTCGTTAATGTCACAGTTGGCACTCCTGGCCAAAAGTTCTCCCTACAGCTCGACACCGGCAGCAGTGATGTTTGGGTGCCTTCGAGCGGGTCAGCGGCCTGCCAGGCCAAGAGCGACAAACTCACACGGCCCGGCCAGAGCGACGGCTGCTCCAAGGGTTCCTGTAAGTCATAATTCTTGACACTCACTCAATTGCTTTTCAGAATGCATTACCGGAAGAGATTTTCAACTCACATGTGCGCGGTAGTCACTTCGAGCAAATCGACCACTTTTACGGCCTTTGACGAAGGAACATTCCAGATTCAATATGTCGACAAAAGTAGCGCAAAGGGCTCTTACTTTCTCGACACTTTCCAGATTGGCGGTGCTACCGTCAAAAATCTAACAATGGGCCTTGCCGAAGAGACCGATATCCCGTTTGGCCTCGTTGGCATTGGCTACAGAGGCAACGAAGCCTCAATTCAAACAGTCGATCAGACATACCCCAACTTGCCAATCGCTATGCAGACCTCAGGCAACATCAACACGGTTGCTTACAGCCTTTGGCTCAATGACCTCGACGCGAGTACGGGCAGCCTGCTTTTTGGCGCAATCGACACCGAAAAATACCAGGGCGACCTCGCCCGGCTCGACCTTCTTTCTCGCGGCGGCCAGGTCGTCGAGTTTAACGTGGCCCTAACCTCAGTTGAAGGCCACAGTTCATCTGGATCTGATTCCTTCTCCTCGACGAGTTTCCCAATCACCGCCCTCCTCGACTCTGGCACCACCCTCTCGTACCTCCCCACCGACATCACCCAGCAAATCTGGCAGGAAGTCGGCGCCGCGTACGTCCAGAGCCTTGGAGTTGCCGTCGTGCCCTGCAACATCGCGGGTACCGGCGCCTACTTTTCGTTTGGCTTTGGCGGCAGCCAGGGCCCTCGCATCAACGTCACCATGGACGAGCTAGTCCTCGACCAGGCCGGCGTTTCCCTGTCGAATGGCAGACACAAGAACACTGCTGCTTGCGTCTTTGGTATCCAGGCCCAGTCTGCTTCCACGGACGGCTCACCAAACACCTACCTGCTAGGCGACAGCTTTCTGCGCTCCGCCTACGTCGTTTACGACCTGGTGAATAACCAAGTCGCCCTTGCCCCGACCAAACTGAACGCGACCGCCTCCAATGTGGTTCCCTTTCCTTCCAAGGGTGCTACCATTCCATCGTCCACTCTAGTCGCGGATTCCAACTCCACAACTGGTGGCAGCTCATCCACGCCTGATTACAAGGGCAGTTCTGGTTTCCAGAGCGCGAGTGGCGCGACCACTGTTGGTCTCTCCGCCCTGGGATTGGTCATGATCTCGGTGCCGACCTTTCTCGCTATTTTTGCCAACTCTGTATAATATTGGGAAGAATTTTGATGTCTCTTTTATTCAGCGTCGTTATGGATATACCAGTGCTGGTCGTTCCAGCTGCTCGCTGGCGTTGAGCTTTTACTTGTAAATGTTGGTTCATGCACTCTAACATGTATTTATGCTCTATCTATATATTTATTTTAGAAAATATTAAAAAAGAATATTAATCAATCTCGTACAAGTTGCTAAAGAAAAGTATTGTTCCATGGAAAAATCGCCCAATGGGAATGATCTCTATTACGCTGACTCCCTTCGCGGTTCATATCGCAGCTTTATCGCGCTAGCACGTGGAGCCGCGATGATGCTGCCCCTGGCAGAAAAAAGTTTCCAGGGACTCGGCGCTACCAAGATACTGCTCTCAACCACGACAAATCGTTTTGTTGTGGACAGTTTCGCGACATGAGGGTCCTCAACTCGGTCAGGTGGCTTAATTGCCGTCTGATTTCGGATTCTTCTAGATCGTCTGCTGGGTTTCGCGATTTCAAGGTCGCTGTGCCCTTTTCCTCTCGGCGCACATTCAGCCAGTCCAGCGTCAAGTATGGCGCCGCACAGGAAGCGTGAGTATCTATCCTTTGCGTCGAATTGCGGGCAGATTGAATAGGAAGGAAAGCTAACATGGCCCAATTGCAAAGTCTGAAAAAGGCGCAAGAAGATGCTGCCAGCCTGACCCCCGAATACGTTGCCGCCAACATGTCCACTGAGGAGGCTGCTCGCCTCTCCCGCGTACGAAATATTGGTATTGCCGTACGTTCTTATGACCTAGAAATCCCGTTAGAGTTGAGTTATGGTTTCTAACATTATGGCTAGGCGCACATCGACTCCGGAAAGACGACAGTTACCGAGCGCGTTCTCTTCTACACCGGTCGAATCAAGGCGATCCACGAAGTCCGTGGAAAGGACTCTGTCGGCGCCAAGATGGACTCTATGGATCTCGAGCGAGAAAAGGGCATTACGATTCAGTCTGCAGCGACTTTTTGCGACTGGAAAAAGACAGAAAACGGAAAGGAAGAGACCTATCACTTCAACCTGATTGATACCCCCGGCCATATCGACTTCACGATCGAGGTCGAGCGTGCTCTGCGCGTCCTCGACGGTGCTGTCATGATTCTGTGCGCTGTCAGCGGCGTCCAGTCGCAGACCATCACTGTCGACCGTCAGATGAAGCGCTACGACGTCCCCCGCATCTCCTTTGTCAACAAGATGGACCGCATGGGCGCCAACCCCTGGAAGGCCGTCGAGCAGATCAACACCAAGCTCAAGATGCCCGCCGCCGCCATCCAAGTCCCCATTGGCGCCGAGGACGAGTTCGAGGGCGTTGTGGACCTGATCGAGCGCAAGGCCATGTACTTTGAGGCTCCTCGTGGCACCAAGATCCGCGTTGAGGATAAAATTCCCGCCGGCCTGCAGGACCTCGTCGAGGAGAAGCGCCAGATCCTGATCGAGAAGCTTGCTGACGTTGACGACGAAATGGCCGAGATCTTCCTTGATGAACAAGAGCCCACCGTTGCCCAGATCAAAAGCGCCATCCGCCGCGCCACCATCGCCCGCAAGTTCTCCCCGGTCCTAATGGGCTCCGCCCTTGCCGACAAGGCCGTCCAGCCCATGCTCGACGCTGTCTGCGACTACTTGCCCAACCCGTCCCAGATCGAGAACACGGCGCTTGATAAGACGCAAAACGAAAAGTCGGTCAAGCTCGTTCCCTACAACTCGCTTCCCTTTGTCGGTCTCGCCTTCAAGCTCGAAGAGAACAACTACGGCCAGCTCACCTACATCCGCGTCTACCAGGGTACTCTGAACAAGGGTACCTACCTGTTCAACAGCCGCACTGACAAGAAGGTCCGCATCCCCCGCATCGTGCGCATGCACTCCAACGAGATGGAGGATGTCAGCGAGGTTGGCGCCGGCGAGATCTGCGCCGTCTTCGGTGTCGACTGCGCCTCAGGCGATACCTTCACCGACGGCGGCCTGCCGTACACCATGTCATCCATGTTTGTCCCTGACGCTGTCATGTCGCTGTCCATTACGCCCAAGCGTTCCACCGATGCCGACAACTTCTCCAAGGCCATGAACCGGTTCCAGCGAGAGGACCCGACGTTCCGCGTCCATGTCGATGCGGAGAGTGAAGAGACCATCATCTCCGGCATGGGCGAGCTGCACCTGGAAGTCTACGTCGAGCGTCTCAAGCGCGAGTACAAGACAGAGTGCGTGACCGGGCAGCCCCGCGTCGCCTACCGCGAGACTATCTCGCGCCACGCCGACTTCGACTTCCTCTTCAAACGCCAGTCCGGTGGCCCCGGTGACTACGCGCGCGTCGTCGGCTACATCGAGCCCAACGATAACCCCAGCGACAACTTATACGAGAGCCAGGTCGTCGGCGGCACCATCCCCGACAAGTTCCTGACGGCGTGTGCCAAGGGTTTTGAGCTGGCGACCGACAAGGGCCCACTGCTTGGCCACCGCGTCATCGGCACGCGGATGATCATCAACGACGGCGCGACGCACGTCACCGACTCGTCCGACCACGCCTTCAGCCTCGCGACTCAGATGGCCTTCCGCAAGACCTTCCCCGAGGCAGGTGGCCAGGTTCTCGAGCCGCTGATGAAGACGACCATCACCGCACCCAACGAGTTCCAAGGCGCCATCCTCATGCTCATGAACAAGCGCGGCGCCGTGGTCCACGACACCGATATTGGCACCGAGGATTTCACCCTCACCTGCGACTGCAGCCTAAACGCCATGTTCGGCTTCAGCTCCCAGCTTCGCGCCGCCACGCAGGGCAAGGGCGAGTTCAGCATGGAGTTTAGCCACTACGCCGCTGCGCCGCCGCACCTGCAAAAGGAGCTCATTGCCAAGCACGAGGCAGAGCTCGAGGCCAAGCGCTCGAAGTAATGAGTTGAGAAGACAAAATAGAATTGCGATTTCGAGTTTGCCACATGATTTTTTACTGTACTACTATGGCGCTGGGTTGTGCAAAAGAGGCACTTGCAGGTTTCTAGAAATAACTCTTCTCTAGTGCAAAAGTTGAGCTTGTACTTTATACAACGGTATTTGGGAGCAACAAAAAACGAGATTGAAGTTGAATAGTGTGGCCTATAGACCTGTAACAGACAGGATAGTATATACAATGATTTACCACCTAGAAAGTCACATAAGAGGTACTATGTTTCATGCATACAAGGTCTAACGCTTTTATTCAAGTATTTTTAAATCCTACAAAGCCCGCTACAGAATAGACCGCAATCACAGTCTGCGGAGAATGTCCTCAACGACCTGCTCGGTGGTAGCAGTGCCGCCCAGGTCCGGGCTAAGCAGCTTGCCCTCCTCGAGATTGGCGTCGACAGCGGCATAGATGGCGGCGGCTGCCTCAGGCTCCTCGAGGAACTCGAGCATCAGGGCGGCGCTGCGGATCGTCGCGATCGGATTGGCGACGCCGCGGCCCATGATGTCCGGGGCGCTGCCGTGGCAGGGCTCGCCGATGGCGAGCCCCTCGCCGACGTTGGCGCTGGGCACGAGCCCGAGCGAGCCGACGAGCGCCGCGGCGCCGTCGGACAGCAGGTCGCCGTACAGGTTGGGCGCCACGACCACGTCGTAGTCCTCGGGCTGGCGGAACAGCTTGTACACCATGGAGTCGACGATCTGCTCCTCAACGGCGACGCCGGCGTACTTGGGCGCCGCGAGCGCCGTCTTGGAGACCTCGCGGAACAAGCCGTCCGTCTGCGACAGCACGTTGGACTTGTGCGTGATGGTGACGAGGGGGCCCTTGTGGATGCTAGGGCTGCCGGCCTCGCGCAGCTTCTGCCGGCGCACCGCGATGTCGCCGGCCATGGCGGCGATGCGCAGCGTCGCGCGCTCCGAGATGCGCTTGATGGCCTCGGCGACGCGGCCCTCGGGCGTCTCGCGCGTCGTCTCCTGCTTGACGTACAGGTCCTCGGTGTTCTCGCGCACGATGACCATGTCGATCGGTCGCGGCGCGGTCAGCACCGTCTTGACCGGCCGCACGTTGGCGTACAGGTCGAGCTTCTTGCGGAGCGCCACGATCGGCGACGAGTAGCCCTTGACGGCGTGCGTCGGCGAGGACACGGCGCCGAACAGCGCGCCCTGGCACTCGGAGCGCAGCGTGTCGATGGTTGCGTCGGGCAACGCGGTGCCCGTCTGCTCAAACGTCTCGAAGCCCGCCTGCAGGTTAACAAAGTCAAACTTGAGCTTCAGCGCCGCGGGAAGCGCCTCGAGCACCCGCCGGCCAGCGGGGATGACCTCCTTGCCGATGCCGTCGCCGGGGATGAGGCCTGTGTGTATGGGTGCGTAGTTAGCGGGGGTGTTTGTCGGTGGGTGGGAGGGGACGGCAGGTTCGTACCGATGCGGAGAGTGCGGAGGGACATGGCTGCGGTTCAATTGGATTGACTGGCCAAGTTGTTGGAAGCGATTGAGCAATAAACAGAGAAATCTAGCCGTAAAAAATGTCACCATAGATTTGGCTTTCCTCGGCTGCCGACCTCGGATCCGGCTGTGGAGCAGGACCCTGCAACAGTCATTAGGTAAGCATGGATCAAGTTCAAGACACCAGCATCACGGTCTTTCTCTAGTTTTCATAAAGGAAACTTATGTCTTCTCATTAGTTGCCCATAGTGTACGTAAAACGATAGTACCAGCATCATTTGATGGCTATGTTGCTTCTGCAGGTGGGCTTCTCACTCTAGGTAGGGGCAAAGCCTTCACCACGAAATGAGAGCGAACGAACCCTTCACCGAGAAATATAACGCTCATTAGCCAGTTCAAAGAACTAGATTCGCCTCCAGTCCTCCAAAATGACTGAAGCTGGGGGTGCCGGTGCCGGCCCCACGATGTCAAGTCGTGCTGTCATAGCCGACCTACCCTAGAACAAGCGACAGACAGGCTTTCCTCCATACACACCCTCACCTCTAACTGAGGGTATGTATTCATTGATGAAGAATATGCGGAGTCAAGTAACACATTATATCTGTTTACAATAAAACGATATTGGGCTAGCTGAGGAGAATGATAAACTGGTTGACTGTGCGCCGGTGGCACCATGTTAGAAGCGTCGGTGGACTCGAGAAATGGAAGACCTGAGAGAGCTGACAGAGAAAGGATCTAGATCTTGCAAAGCCCAGCTGCCATACCAACGTTTCCCAAAGGCAGATCAAGAAGAGGTCATACAACATTACAAGGAGCTCTGGGCATCTGTTACCAGTGGAGGAAGGGATGGGCACTTCCGTCGGAATTCGCCCCAGAATTGGTATAGGTAATCCTTTCAGTTGACTTTTGTTCATTTCAACTGGATTCTGAAGAGACGCATTCTTTCGCATCACTGGTGACTGGCAACAAGCGCCAGTTCGTTGACCCTGGAAGAAGCGAGGCATTGTTTATTGCCTTTCAAATCGTGTAAGACAGGAGGCGTAGCGAGATGGAAAGCCTCGGCGGTTTAGGCCGGGGCACACGTGTTTGGCTTCGGTACATGCGCTTGCGGTTGGACCTCCGAGCGCATGTTTGGACAGGCAAGCATGAACAAGGAAGGGGTTCCGTCAGCAAACGACAAACTGCATGACATGCTGCCGATGGAGGATCGCGCATAGGGCCGTGCAACAAGGGGACTGCGAAGCAAGCCCGGATCGCGATGTGGCGGCGGGAACTAGCTCGGGGGTGAGGACTGGCGGGATGGAGTTTCGAGTCGCCCGCTCTGTACTGGTAGTCACCGAATGGTGGATTTTCGTCAATACGGAGTAGCAGGGGACTTGACAACGCGCGGTGTCCCATATTGATGTTCAGCATGAGCCCTGGCCGGTGCGCTTGTGCGGAACTGCAGTGTGTTGGCTGCTGGGAGTCCAGGGGGTTGGGAGGCAGAAAGCCCTGACATGGCGAGGTGCGAAGTGGAGGACGGATTAAATTGCGAGACATTGGCGGTGGCCTTGGAAACAAGACAAAGTCGCATGGCGGCGGAGGCATGCGGGCGCCGTGGAAACGGAGGGTCCAGTGGAGTGTTGTTGGCGGATGCGGCGGGATAATTGGGAGCGGTGATGAAGGTAATTGAATTGGCAATGGCGATATGGTGATGGGATTGGAAGGGTGAGGATGAGCAAACGGACGGCATCAGGATGGAGGGGAGTTGGGAGAGCTTCTGCAGTGATGTGATACATGCCACTTTGAGGTATGTATGTACCTGCAGGACGCTTGTACCTGACTGCTGCAAATCGGCTGTGCAGGGACTTGAGCCATCCCATTGTCCATTGTTCCCCGCTCAAGCTTTCTTTACAATGCCAACAGGTACTAACTTGATGTATGTGCGAGCGGTCGAATTGGTTGTTTACTTGCGACCACATTTGTACCACGATGAATACCCGTCTACTCGTACATCGGTACAGTTGGCTTGCCAATAACTCGGCTCATCGTTAATTTCTGCCCTAGCTATGTACGTCCATTAATTATTACCGCACCTGACCCAAAACAGGATCCCTGCCGTCAGCCTATTGAGTTGCCTCAACTGAGCAAGCCGCTACCCCTGACTTTTTCGCTGATGCCTTGTTGAGCCCTGTATCGAGAGTGCGAAGCCTGTCCTGACCCGCGTCAAGGCGCGCCACGTTCTATCCGTGCTAGTATCAGTTATTATTATATCGCCGCCTGACTGACTTGCAGCCTGCCTGCTGCATCCACTGACTGGCCTCCGTCTGGCCTCGCCGCACCATACCTGTCCATCTCCAAACAGCTCCCACACACACTGCTGTCCTTGCGCACTCTACCTTGCACACCTTCCTGCCTACTAAGGACCTAGGACCAGCCTTGCTCCCGAAGCTTGTCCGGATCTTGAAACGCGCTCCTCCCGTCATCTGTTCATCATTTTCTTCTCGGTAGGCTCAAACTCTATTCACCTAGATTCGACCGTTTACTGGCGTCGCCGTCACCACTCTTCCCCCCTCATCTCCTCCTTGCCTGTGCCCACCTCCCCAAAAAGCCAGCACAACACCTGCCGCACGCCGATACATACCATCGCGCCTCCTCTGGCACCGAACTCGCGGGTCCTTGCGAGGACACCGCGTTCACCACCGTCGTCATGAGCCAGGTCAAGAACCTGCGTGCCATGTTTGAAAGCAAAGGCGACACCAGCCCGCCAGATAGCAGAGGACGCTCTCCAACAGGTGGCTTTACCCCAGCATCATCACCGCCCTTTTTGGTCGCACGCAAGCAGCAGCTTCATCTCCAACTACATGGCACGTGCAAATATGCAATTCAGTAGCTACAGGTGCAACTACCCCACGGTAGCGTTGGTGCCTGGGTAACGCGTCTTACTGGTTCTGGCGACGCGGAGAGAGCTGCTTGCTTGCTGCGCTACCAAACTTTGATTTGCCGGCGCGTACTTGGCTAACGCGCGACTTCTCCATTAGCTGCATCAACCACTTCCGAAGGTCCAAGGCCACTTTCAAAAATCAGAACCAACTTTGTCGCCGTGGAAAAAGACGGCCGCATCGGACTGAGACGAGACCAGAGTGGCGATTCCAGCATCTCCCGACGACGCCTCAGCAACGACACAGAGCCTAGCCTCTATCGTGCAAGAAGCAAAATGTCTACCCACGACGATACTGTCCGCAATCCGGCGGCCGAATCCATCCCCGAGGCCCCTGATGCAGCTGAGGCTGCGGCCGAGCAGCCTGGCCCAACGACGACGGGTAATGCTCCAGCCAAGCCCGAGGAGGCAACGCCGGTCAAGCCTGCAGCTTCACGATCTACCGCGGTAGCTTCCAAGACAACGACGAAGCCCGCAGCATCCAAGCCGGAGCCCACGAAGCCTCGGACAACGACCAAGCCTGTAGCCACAACAAGAGCTACTGGAGGCGTGACTGCTGCTAAGAAACCGGCTCCTGTCAAGATTGGTGCAAATGACACGGGCTTCGTGAAACCAAAACCGAAATCTCCTACCAAGCCTGTGAACCTGCCATCGTCTTTGATGGCCCCAACAGCCGCTTCTGCCCACAAGGGCGGCGCCAGTCGACAGTCGAATCTTCCCCAGTCCGCCAGCGCACATGCTGTTGGCGCTTCTGCCGCGTCAAAGCCCGTGAAGCGTCAGAACTCTGCCGCAACTCGTCAGCGACCCAGCCTAGGAGTTCCTTCTGTCAGCAAACTCTCACAAGAGTCAACCTCTCACAAGAGACAGAGCCATGTTGACGAGGGCTTCCTTGCGCGTATGATGCGTCCTACTGCAGCGTCATCTAGCAAGACTACGGAAAAGGGAACTCCTACCACCCCACCAAAGAAGTCCGCGCCGCGCCTTTCAAACGTTGGTGGCGAAAACGTGAAGCGCCCCGCTAAGAGCCCTGTGCCTAACCGTGCCGCCTCTGTTGCCCGATCTAGAGAAGTCACTTCACGGGCTGAAAAAGTACCTGCTAAGCCTGCAACCGCCAAGACAGCATCGTCCATAGTCAAGGCAGCTGCTGTTCCTGCAGCTGCAGCCACCACCGCCGTCGCTGGTGCTGCTGCAGTTGCTGGCAAGGTGATCACTGACTCCACTGCGTCCAAGCTTGCCGACAAGCTTCAAGATGTCGGAATTGAGGAGCCAAAGGAGGAGCCAAAGCAGGAAATGAGCAACGCACCAGAGGCTGACCATCTACCCGTCGCTGAACATGATCTCGAAGCTGAACAACAGCCCAAGCCGGAGCCTGAGCTCGAGGCGGAACCCGAGCCTGAGGAGCTGGCCGAGGACGTGCCTGTGGAAGACGTAGAGCCCGAAGCTGAGTTTGAGAAGCAACCCGAGCCTGAGCACGAGACTCTGGAGGAGCCTGCGGAGGAGCCCGTGGAGGAGTCTATCGTGGAGGAGTCTATCGTGGAGGAGTCTATCGAAGAGCCCGCGCAAGAGCTTGAAACTGTCGAAGATACCCAGCGCGAAGTTGAAGAGGAGCACGAAACCCGTCCCGCCGAACACATCGATGAGGCCCAGCCTTCTACTCAGGAGGAAGAGCCTGCTGCAGCAATCGTTGCCAAGGAGCCCCTCAAGGAGGAACAGTTTGCCCATGAAGAGCCTGCGGCCCTTGAGGAGCTTGCTCTTGAAGCTGCCCAGGTCGAGACTGCCGAAGAGGTGATGGAAATCGCTGAAGGGGCTGATCCTGAACCCCCTGCCAGCCTAGACAATGCCACCAGACCTACGCAGCCCGTTGTTGAGCACGCCTCAACTGAGAAAGGCATTGTGCATAATGGTCATCTTGATAAGGCCGGCGTTGCTGCTGATGCTGAGCCTACCCCTACCCTGCCGAAGCTTGCCGAACACACTCTGGAGCACGCTGAGCACGCCGAGCCTGCCGCTGATGAGTCTGTCTGCAAGGATGCTAACACGGCCGCGTAGAGCAAGGGGAGGCGGCATCGCTGCGTTTGGTATTATACATGTCTTCTTTTTGGGCTGGGCTGTGCTGGGCAGACGGCCGTCATGTGGTGTCTGGCGATATCCTGAAAAGGGAATTTTCTTAGGGGCTGGAGTTTGTTTCTTTACTGTGCAGATCTTCTTGTTAGACACAGCGACTTAAAAATTTATTTAATACCAAGCGATTCAAGTGATGGTGGGCCAAGTTCAATATTGTGCTTTGAGTGTCTGTCGTGTTTGTTGACCACATGAACAAGACCATTTTGTGTCCGGGGGCTTGTGGATAGAATATGCATTGGTGTATTTGAGGTCGATGTCTATTCGTACAGTGACCTGCCGATCTTGGAAATTTTCAACAGCTATGTTACATGATATCACCCGCCAAAACTGCGCTTGCTCCTCCTCCCCTGTCCACCCTCTGCGCCTATGACACCCTGCACATCAGCGTGCCGCCCACCTTCTTCGCCAGCGCCTCGCGCGCCTCCAGCACGCCCTCGCTCGTGTCCAGGAAGAGGCACTCGCCCAGCGTCAGGCCCTTGACGACGCCCGCGTCCAGCTTCGTCGGCAGCCCGCGCACCACGCGCGCCAGCTCCTCCGGGCGCGCCGTGACCGCCCTCGCCGGCGTGCTCATCGCCCGGCACTGGCCCAGCACCGGCCGCCCATCCCAGTACTTGAGCCCCAGCCAGAGCCGGCGCGACGCGACGTTGGCGGTCGTCACGGGCTCCGGCGGCACGGTGAGCATCGCCTCCTCGGTGGGCGGCACCGGACCGGCGCGGTAGACGGAGGAGAGGAAGCCGGCGCGGTGGAGGGCGCTGGCGAGAGAGGCGGCCTGCCGGCTGCTGCGGAAGGAGGTCAGGCCGAGGCGGGCCTTGGACGCGTTCTGCAGGTGCGAGCACATGTCGACGAGCGTCTTGAGGGATAGTCGCGGCATGGTTGCTGGTCGTGTGTGTGGATGTGGTGTGGGGGGAAATATGTAGATTTGTTGGATTCGTAAACGTTTGAGCAGCGACGTTCCGCTTTGACTGATCGAAAACGAAGAGAGCCTTTATCCGTGGGGGGACTTTCGGATAGGTCGAGGTCGTCGTCTCCTGTCGGGGGGAAGATGCGTGAGGCTGGCGTGGTCAGATGCCCTGTCGTATGGGGTCCCGCAGAATCAATTGGGGGATGAAGTTGGGCGTGAGCTTCGCAGACAAGTAGATAGCGCCGCTTTATTGTCGTGGACAGCCTCAATTGCACGGCGACGGGTGGCCAGGAAAAGGATGCTGTCGCATGTCTTTCTCCAGGGCCCGCCAAAAATTCTTGGGCGTGCTGTGCGGATGACTAAGCTTATTTGAACCAACAGACCAACACAGTTTGTCCATTGCCAACTCTTATCTTAACGAGACTTATTAGAACTTTTAAATTTGTTGAGGAGATTGATATTAATATTTAGAATGTTCCAAATGCAAGAAAAAGCAAGAGAGTACGCCGACGACGGACTAGTGAGGAGAACGTGTTGTACAGTTTTGGAAGTGGGCTAGTCGAATGTAAATGCAAAATCCTCCAATATTTTCTTCCAAATTCGTATATTACATCATTTGCCATATCGCTACCGCATTGTGCCAGAGCTCCTTCATGGGCCTCCGGTAGCTGTAGGCAAGGTACACACCAACCGCTAGGAATGGGCTGGTGACCAACCCGGCAAAAAGACGACTCAGCACGCGGCCCTGGCGGTCCGTCTGGCGCACGCACTCCGAGTATGGGCGGTTGCTGAAGACGACAAGCGAGTACTTTGTGCGCCACCCAAGACCAGGCAGGCGTAGGGACAAGAACTCTTCGAGCGCCTTGCGTAGCTTGTATGTGGTGGACTGCGACGTGCGCATCTCTATGTAATTTTGGAACGCGAGGTCGTTGATGGTGTATGCGTCAACCCAGCGCGTGGCCGAGTATTCAGCGAGGGCCTGCGCGTGTGCCTGCTCCGCGGCGGCGTTGGACGAAGATTGCTGCTCGTCGTCTTCGTCGTCGAGTGGGCTGTTGGTCTCGGCTAACAGGGCCTGGTGCTTGTCAAGGATGGAAAAGAGGATGCGAACGTCCTCCATGCCAGTGTTCATACCCTGGCCGTAAAAGGGGACCATGGCGTGGGCGGCATCGCCGATGATGACGCCGGAAGCACCAAAGTGGTAGGGCTTGCACTTGAGGCTGATGAGGGGCAAGTGCGGGTTCGTATTGAAGGCGTCGATGAGGGAGGCATCTGAGATATGGTCTCTCACGCCGGGAAAGTTGACATCAAAGAAATCGGGCACCTGCGACGGGTCGGCCTCGAGCGTCACAAAGTGGTTGGCGGGCAGGAAGAGGGTGCAAGTAAATGAGCCATCCTGCATGAGTTAGCAGAGGTACTAGTGCAGAGGAGGAGAGCTCCCATGATGTTGGCTCACTTCACTAGGAATCGCGATAAACATAAAGTCCTTGCCGGGCCAGATGTGCAGGTGATTGGGCGAAATCTTCCACGTCTCGGAGCCGTCGGGCTGAGGCTTGCCGGCGTCGATGCGGAACTCGCACCACAGGGTGTCAATGTACTCCTGCTGGTAGTCCATGCGGGAAAACTTCATCATGTGGTAGCGGACGGCTGAGTGTGCGCCGTCAGCGCCGAGCATGATGTCAAAGTCAATCTCCATCTCGCGCGGCCGGCCGCTCGGCGAGAGGCGATCACGGTCCTCAATCCAGGCCTTGCGCTTGCGAAAGTCGGCGCCGGTGAGCTTGTGGTTAAAGAAGAGCTCGACATTAGGCAGGTCCTCGAGGGCGTCAAGGAGCCTGGCATTCAATGCGCCGCGGTCCATGGCTAAGTTGCACTGGGGGTTTGACTTGTTAGCTGGGTGAACGGGCTGTCGGTGGTGGATGAGGCCGACATCGCTGAGACGATGACGAAAACTTACCCGACCGTGAATGTCAAAGTCCTGGGCGACTTCGTATAAAGCCCCGGATGGCTTTTTGCCGTGAATCATTCGGCCACGCATGGGCACGCAGGCGCCGAGGATGTCCTCGAGCAGATCGGGAAGTCCGGCATGGCGGATGGCGTTAATGCCTCGCTCCGAGAGTGCGAGGTTGATGGACTTTGTAAAGTTGAGAGGGACAATACGAGGATCCCGAAGATCTGGTATACGTGAGAAAGAAAGAAGAGAAAAAACGAGACAGCACATGAATTAAAAATTTCGCTCTTTTTTGGAAGTGTTTGACTTACCTGGACGCAACTCGTAAACCTCAACCCGGTAGCCTCGTTGAGCGGCGTAGAGGGCAGCCAGTGAGCCTACCGGACCGGCGCCGACAATGACCATTTTTTGCGGTCGTGCCATGGCTGCGACTGCTGCTGCTAAAAGCTGACGGCGGGAGAGTCTGTACTAAATAAAGCGTACCAAGACATGCAGACCCCGGCTGCAGGAGTGAGTCTTTGAAACGGGAGGCCAATATGGGATCCCGGGCGGCAATGTGTGTTGGTTGTTCGGAGCGAGGGAAAAAGGCGAAATCGACAGAAGCCGAGGATCATCAGATAAAAAGAACCTAGCTTGCTAATTAAGTCGATATCGGCGCCCCAGCGAACGAAAACCCGGGGCGCGCCCTTCTTCTTCATATTACAGCGGGTTGAAGTGGAGGTTTGGTGATTCAGCGATGTCTTCAGTGGCCTCACCGAGCCTTTTCAGCCGCCGGAGTCAGTATGCGTCCCCTGTAAAAACTTGACCACTGAAGTCAGTCCACTGGGACCCAGCATCATGGCCGACAGGGGCAGCTCAGCACGCGACTTTTCTGCGCCACCCTCAGCCGGGCTGAGGCTGAGCCTGTCGAACAGCTGATTCTACTTGCTAACCACTGACGAGGAATAGGTCGATAATATCGATAAAAAAAGTTCGGCAGAAAATCACATAGGCTCTCACCACCTTGGACTGACTTCATTACATCGCCGCTATTTACTCTTTACTGTACCACTCAGCCCGCGCGCTGCTGTTGATTTTGCATATCATTCTTAGAATATTCCTACAAACCTCTCCCTTTGATTTGCTTTGCTTCATCACTGCCACCTCGACAGTCGCATCTACAGTCGCTGCCCGCCATGGCTGCCGAACCCCCCGCAAAGAAAAAGTGCTTGGGCGTCGACTGCGAAAACGACGCCGGCACCCTCCAATGCCCGACCTGCCTCAAGCTTGGCAACAAGGACAGCTTCTTTTGCTCCCAGGACTGTTTTAAGAAGAGCTGGGTATGCGCGCACACCTCTCTCCAACTTCTTCAGTGCCGCCCAGCTAACGGTCCTCGCAGAGCACGCACAAGTCCATGCACAAATCTCAAAGTAATATCCTCCACCACTTGCTCGCCCCGAAAGCAATCTCACCAGATCCAGCGACCGGTTACTACAATCCCTTCCCGAGTTTCCCCTTCGCCGGCCCTCTGCGCCCCGTCTACCCTCTCTCCGAGCACCGCACCGTTCCCCGGTCGATCACGCACCCCGTCTGGTCTGAGGATGGCAACCCCAAGTACAGCCGCTCGCTCAGCAGCCGCACCAAGTTTGAGATTCTCGATGCCAAGGGTATAGAGGCCATGCGCAAGGTCTCCAAGCTCGCGCGCGAGGTCCTCGACCTGGCCGCCGCCGCCGCCGTCCCTGGCGTCACCACGGACTACATTGACGAGATTGTACACAACGCTTGCGTCGAGCGCAAGGTGAGTCTGCCATGTGCATGAAGGCGCGGCCAGTCAACCTGGGTCTTGGCGCTCTGCTTGCACGCAAAACACTGACAAGGCTGCTAGTCGTATCCCTCCCCCCTCAACTACAACCACTTCCCGAAGTCCTGTTGTACTTCCGTTAACGAAGTCATTTGCCATGGCATCCCCGATAAGCGCGTCCTCCTCGACGGGGATATCCTCAATATTGACGTGACCCTGTACCACGAAGGGTACCACGCCGATCTGAACGAGACGTACTACATTGGCGACCGCGCCAAGGCCGACCCGGATAACGTGCGCGTTGTTGAGGCGGCCCGTGAGTGCCTCGACGAGGCGATCAAGGCCGTCAAGCCCGGCGTGCAGATTCGCGAGTTCGGCAACATCATTGAGAAGCACGCCAAGACGAAAGACTGCAGCGTCATCCGCACTTATTGCGGCCACGGCATCGGCAAGCTGTTCCACTGCCCGCCAAACGTGCCTCACTATGCCAAGAACAAAACGCCTGGCGAGTGCAAGGCTGGTATGACATTCACTATCGAGCCCATGATTGCGCTGGGCAAGTACCGAGATATCACATGGCCGGACAACTGGACGAGCACCACCATTGACGGCAAACGGACAGCTCAATTCGGTAAGAGAAAATGCTGCTGGTCTGAGCAGGGCGGTGTATGTTGCTAACTTGTTCGTGCAGAGCAAACCCTACTGGTGACAGAAGACGGCGTCGAGGTGCTGACGGCGAGAAACGAAAATTCCCCTGGTGGTCCGGTACCGATGCCTACTGTGGCGTAATCATATCAGCATGGAAGGATCTATTGGAGTTGAGAGAATGGAAGCAGTTGCATTGGATAGCGAGGTGTTGGCGGCGTTGGAGATAAGCTTAAACGGCTCAGGTCCAGGACCTGCAACAAGAGACACGGCGAATGTAGACGGCAATGTAATAAACCATCTACCATGCAGGAGTGTAGAAGCATATAGATATCGAATTTATTGCTGCCTATCTACCTGGGGACCTTGCTGGATATTTGTGAGATTGCCCTTGGCAGCTGGTCTGGACTTTTCTACTACTAATCACATGCCCAACGCTGCTGTTGGGCTGGACATGAGTCGCCAAAGGCCGCTAACAGCTGAGCAGGTGCACTAAAATCGCAGGTCTGGCGACCGCGAACGGCAACGGCTGAGGCGCTACAGCGACAGCTGGGATAAGATTACAGCGTATTTGGAGCGTCATTTGGAAGCCCTCGGTGCGCTTGCTTCTCACTGGCCCAGTCCCTCGCCACCGCCAAACGTGAGAAAAAAAAATCGCCATCGTCGCATCCACTCCTTCCCTCCCCACCAAACCCGGTCTCGAGAAGCCAGCCCCCCGAGCCTCTCTTACTTCTCCTCTCACTTCCACGAACTTCTCCCCCAATTCTCTACCAGCAACGGCGCGCATCTCTGTGTCCACCTGTCAAGCTCTAGCTCCCACGGGTCTTCAACGTAAATATCCCCTTTTCTCTCTATCTGGCCTTACCTCTCCTCTGCAGGCCGCAGCTATCTCCGTTTCCCGCACCTTAAGAGCTCCGACTAACGCGTCCACCCTGACCGAAGGCTAGGCATTCCGCTGACGACGACCTTTCGCAAACACCTCGTCCCCAGACCAAGCTCCAGCAAGCTCCGACCGCACCTTTTCCCGCAACTCTACAACTATTGGCGACTGGAGACCACGTCATCATGATGTCTGGCGAAGCATGGCTGTTCCTCTTGTCGGTGTTGATCAACGCCGTCAACCTGTTTCTGCAGGTCTTCTTCACCATCATGTACAGTGATTTGGAGTGGTATGTGGCCATGAGATGCCTGGACCGGGCTCGACTACTTGCGCGACGAGCTCTTACCGCGCAGCAAGCTTCTAGGACCCCCAGCTAACGAACTCAATCTAGCGACTACATCAACCCTATTGATCTCTGCAACCGTCTGAACACCTACATCATTCCCGAAGCCGCTGTCCACGGTTTCCTCACCTTCCTGTTCCTGATCAACGGCTACTGGCTGCCTTTGATCCTTAACCTGCCTCTCCTCGCTTGGAATATCAAGAAGTACGCTTTGTTTCTGTCGCCTTGGGCATACCCTGTTGTCACTGCTAACTCGGGCTCCAGGATCGTCGACAACACTCACCTCCTCGACGCCACCGAAATTTTCCGCAAACTCAACGTCCACAAAAAGGTATGCGATTTATATTCGAACCGATGTCGGAGCTCAGAGCTAACTTCCGTGATAGGAATCTTTCATCAAGCTCGCTTTCCACTTGCTCATGTTCTTCTTCTACCTCTACAGCATGATCGTTGCTCTTATCCGCGACGAGTCCGCATAAACGCTCTACTGGCCCTCCATAAGCGATTCGGGACACCTTGTAATGATATCCGGATAGGCGAGACCCGCCCTCCATGTACGGTTGGCCCCTGGTGGTTCTCTTATGAACAGACGCGCGATTAATATTTGGCTTTCTCGTGGCCTGCTCTTTTGGGCTCAGAGCATGACGAATTGATGCTGAGACGGAATAGAATGAATTCGCAAGGTTTACGGGTTTGGGATATATCACTTTTGCACACGCTATTGCCCGGCGTTTACAGCCCATTTTTGTAGACTGAGTGCTCGCTCTTGAGGGAAGCTCTTGGGGGGGGGGGGGGACACGGCTCTTGATTTCATAAAACCACTTAATGAGATACTATACATCCGCATTTGCCCGATTTTCTTGTATGACGTGCCGCCTAGGCTCTCCCGCGCTCTGCATATTGCGATGATCACGGCCGCCTAGCGGCCATAGAAACCTGTCACGTGATCTATAGCTCAACTTCAGTCGCAATTCTTTGCAACATCCAACCAGTTTTTTTTTTTTAAAGCAGGCACCATTTCACGCATAATAACCCGTTTTCTTGTCGCGAATCAAGAATGGCGGATTTCAGTGAATACCCGCCCAATATGCTGCCCCAGGATGCCCTGGTCGTGCGGGAGCAAGCCGGGCCTGACCACGCAGTGGTCAAGTATTCCGCCGAGGACCTCTCGAGACCCAAGGCTGGTCCAGCGAATCCCTTCAAGGCAGAGACGACAGCGGCTGCGAAGCGAAAGAATGTCTTGACAGGCACGGCGGAGGAGACGTTTATTTCCGAGCACACATTCCGCAGCAAACACAGAGCGATCGAGCGACGAGGCGGCCCCGAGCGCGAGTACCAAACCGTTGCGCAACGCAAGCAAGCAGACGCCCAGGTGCGCGCATCACGCGAGAGCAAGGGCAGCGCGACGATTGCAGAAGGACCTGGAAGTTATGTCGGCCCCTGGGCGAGGTACAAGAAGGTCGAATACGAAGTCGTCGACGAGAACGAGCCGCTGGCGAGTGACGAAGAGTACGAGATGGTCGAAGAGGAGGAAGATGACGTGGTGGAGAGCGGCACGGTTGTTAAAGCGCCTGAAGCTTCCCTTGCGCGACGCAAGGAAGTTGAGGAGATGGGTGACGAGACGACAACGTTCAACGGTTCGCAAGAGCGCGACTACCAAGGCCGCACCTACATGCACGTACCGCAAGATCTGGACATTGATCTGCGCAAGGAAGTGGGCAGCACCACGAACTACATTCCCAAGAAGCAGGTGCACATATGGAAGGACCACAGCGGCGCGGTAACGGCGCTGCGCTTCATCCCCGAGTCGGGCCATCTCCTACTTTCCGGTGGTGCCGACACGACGGTGCGCATCCGCGACATGTACCACGACCGGGAGCTGCTCCGGACGTACGCGGGCCACAGCAAGGCCATATCGAGCCTGAGCTTCAACCGGGACGGGACGCAATTCCTGTCTGCGTCGTACGACCGCATGATGAAGCTCTGGGACACGGAGACGGGCGCGTGCGTGGCCAAGTTCACGACGGGCAAGACGCCGCACGTGGTCGAGTTCAACCCGGACCCGGAGCACGCGCACGAGTTCCTGGCGGGCATGTCGGACAAGAAGATCATGCAGTACGACGTGCGGGCGCCGCCGACCGAGATCGTGCAGGAGTACGACCACCACCTGGCGGCCATCAACACCATCGTCTTCGTCGACGGCAACCGGCGGTTCATGACGACGTCGGACGACAAGTCGCTGCGGGCGTGGGACTACAACATCCCGGTGCCGATCAAGTACATCGCGGAGCCGGACATGTACCCGATGACGCGGGCGGCGGCGCACCCGAGCGGCAAGTACGTGGCGTACCAGAGCTCGGACAACCAGGTGCTGGTGTTTGGCGCGACGGACAAGTTCCGGCAGAACCGCAAGAAGAGCTACCGCGGGCACCACAACGCGGGGCTGGCGATCGACCTCGACTGCAGCCCGGACGGCCAGTTCCTGGCGTCGGGCGATTCGGCGGGCTACGTCTGCTTCTGGGACTGGAAGACGTGCAAGATGTACCACAAGATCAAGGCGGGCAACCAGGCCGTGACGTGCGTCAAGTGGCACCCGCAGGAGACGAGCAAGGTGGTGACGGCCGGGCTGGATGGCGAGATCAAGTACTGGGATTGAGAGGGCTGGAGGGCAAAAGTCAAAAACTGAAAAAGAGGTGGCAATTTTTAGCATGTGCCCGGTGTTCTGAGGCGTTTGTCCTTTTGTCTTTTATGGGCGAGAAACTGATTAACCTTGTACTCTATAGACGTGATGCAGCTGATCAAGCCGTGATAATACATACACAGTGATACAAATCTGCCAGTTTGAAGCAAAGCTCCGAATTTGGCACTAATACCGCGCCATATGATGTCCATACAGAAGCCAAAGTGTTGATGAGGAATTGCTGATGTCTGGTTATTAGTGAAGGTTCACTCTCGTGTAAGTCGCTGTCTCAGGCGCCCACAATCGAACGTTCCATCCGTACATATGATTGTTCTATGCAATCTCAATGGTCTAAATTGCATCCGGCCTACCTAAATTATCTGCTTTACAGGTTATCTCGGCATTAACTCATCATCCCGCGGCATACCCGACGTTGGTTCCACAAGCCATGCCTGCCTGCTGTATGCAGGGTGCCTCGTGGCACATGCAGCATGCAACCCTAAGTGAAGGATGTCACATCACTGGCCACGAAGCTTTTAGACAAGCTCCAACTTGCTCTTTTCCAAGATCATCAGGATGTCCCCCTTCAGAATCCATGTGTGAGAAAGGGCCGATATGGTTGTGACACCTCGGGCACCGTACCCCCCCACCTAATTAGGCCGGTGTTCGCCGACTACGCCACGTCCAGTTTAGCAAACGGCGAGTCAAACAAAGCCTTGTCTTCTCTTTGTAGAGGATCATGTGGTGAAACTCTATTTTTTACCCATTCTGTTTGGTGCGGCTTTCTGCTTTTTTCAACTCGTTCTCTACTCGGTGTATCATCATGTGGTGGCAGCTCGCGGTCTGGGCCTCTCTTGCGCAAGGGGTCGTCGGCCTCTCGGCGTACGACTACAACACTCCCGGGGCGCAGCAGGTGCGCTTCTGGCTCAACGACGGGGATGGGGACGGGGACGTCTCGGTAACGCAGATGCCGTTCCTGACGGGGACCGGCTTCGCGACGCTACCCGTCACCGACTGCTTCGCCGACGACGACTCGGAGGCGTCGCGGTACGACATTGCCATCCTTGGGGCGCCCCACGACACGGTGAGTTTTTCTTCTAATAGCCAAAGAGATCATAACAGGGTTGTCGTTTTATTTAAAGTCCGGGCTGACAATTACATCTGAAGACGACAACCGGCCGTCCCGGCGCCCGGTTCGGCCCGCCGGCTATTCGCCTCGGCAGCAACCAAAAGACCTACGGACTCAGCGTATACACGGGTATGTGTACTGCTTTAAGCCTCCGCGTTGAATAAAAGAAGGCACGGGCTAACGACAAAATCACGAATCGTGTCTGTAGGCCGCGATGCCTTGAAGGACTGGGCCACCGTCGTCGACTGCGGCGACGCCAAGATGACGTGGCTGGACAACCGCCACGCGCTCAAGACGCTCGAGCACGCGCACAGGAAGATCTCGGGCCGCCCGGCCAAGAGCGGTGAGAGGTCCAGCGTCCCGCGCATCATCACGCTCGGCGGCGATCACACAACGACCCTGGCGGCGCTCCGGGCGACGGAGAAGCACTGGGGGCCCGTGTCGGTCGTTCACTTCGACAGTCACATCGACACCTGGGATCCGAAGCAGCTAGGTGAGTTCTTGTTTGCCAGCGAGCAATATATTTTGTTTGTACTCAGGCAACTGACTGTGCATACTAGGTGGCGGCGTATCCGACTATGCGTGAGTTGTGCCGACCTTCGTGTGCGATAGTAGTGCAAGTCTAACCAACAGCAAAGCGCCCTAAACCACGGCACATTCCTCCATTTCGCTCACGAAGAGGTAAAAAGCAGCCCCCCTCCCCCCCCCCCTCCTTATTCTCCAGCATCTCAATAACAAGTTTTTAACAATTTTCAGAACTTGATTCTCAACTCTTCCATCCATGCCGGCATCCGCGCCCAGGTCAGCGACGAGTCCGACATGCGGCACGACAAGGAGTGCGGCTTCCACAGCATCACCGCGCGCGACATTGACTTCATCGGCATCCGCGGCGTCATCGACCGCATCCGCGAGAGCGTAAAGGGCACGCGCGTCTACATCAGCGTCGACATTGACGTGCTCGACCCTGCTTTTGCTCCAGGTAAGACCCAATCTATCCCGTTCGCCGTGACATCCATCTGACAGGGAGGCAAAAAAGCGACCGGGACGCCAGAGGTGGGTGGGTGGTCGTCGCGCGAGCTGGGCACCATCCTGGCCGGTCTGGAAGGGCTGGAGATTATCGGGGGAGATGTCGTCGAGGTTGCGCCGCCGTACGACAACAATGCGGCGACGACGGCGCTGGCGGCTGCCGAGATCGCCTTTGGGCTTCTGGAGCTCATGGTATCTACGCCTGTCAAAGTTTAGCTCAACAGGACAATTGAAATATGTGCAATGCAATTACATATACTGTTTCCCATGTTCTAACCACAGCAACACCTTTTACGTCTGGTCACGGCTCCTGTAACCGCCGGTATAGCTTCAACCATAGCCTGCAGGCAGGCCAGTGCACGTCGCGCACCCATCGTCCTGGGCGCTGCAGCACACTGACTATCTGGTACACGCCCTTTGTGTTCTCCGTGGAGCCAATCGTAATCTTGCGCCACAGCACGTCTGGTCACCTTCCATAGTCGTGAAGACGAGGTACCAAGAATAACCGTTGATGAAGATGCCCGGCAGGAAGGCAGGCAGCTTCGTAGCGATAGACTGTTGTGCATGAATGGATGTTGCTGTGCCGTCCCCCAAAACAGCATCATCACCTCTCGTTGCCGAGTCTGTGGTAATCCGGTCCAGGCCCGGCAACGCTTCTAGCTGGCGCAGAAGCGTCCAGTGCGCCATGTCCCACATACCCAGTCGCAGCTGTGCCTCTTCGATATCCTCGCTCGGTTTCTTAGACTCGATACTGAAGGCGACGAAGCGGTTGTACAACGGCTGAAAGTCGGTGAAGCCGACAATAGTCTTGGGCAGCGCTGCCCGCGCGGCGGCGACGCCGGCCCGGAATTCAGGTGACAGCCGCGGGTCGTTTTTGGGTTGATGTAGACGCAAAAGTCCACCTTCTTCGATACGGTCGGGATACCATAGTGAGGCATAATGGTCGCGGTTGTGCTGTTGCAATGCATTAGCCAGCGTGAACAGTTTGCAATGGCAAATTTCAAGGTGACATGCCAACCCATGACGTTTACCAAGTGCGTAAATCGCCGTGTACCCCCTGGCCGAAACGCCAGACGCCAAATGCTGATCTGAACTTCCATATTCCAGCTCGCCCCGGGATGCCCGTAAATCTCGCATTCAATGGCCGCTTCGGCCACCTGGCGGACCTCATCCGGCGTGGGTGTGCACCTGGCTGCCCTGGCCGGGGCCGGGTCGTCGGCGAATCGGTCGTCGTCCAGCGCCCACAGGAAGCGTGCGTCTGGCTTGACGACCTCACTCAGCGCCGCCTGCATAGACTTTGCCACGATGCCCCAGCCGTCGATCAGCGCGTTGACGTCCCGGATCAGCGCTACCAGGTCCGGGGGCATGTCCTCAAAGTAGTCGAGCGCGCGCATTTCAAATCCGTCCGTGTTGACATCCAGCCACCGGCGCTGTTCCCTGTACGAAGCGCTTTTGGACAGCTTTGAAGAAGGCGTCGGCGGCGGCGTTGTGGGATCAAGGCGATGTCTCTTACGTGCGTTACCGTCGTCACGGTTATTCTTGTTGTCGCCCTTGTTCTTGTTGTCACTATTATTCTTGTCGTCACTGTTATTCTTGTCGTCACTGTTATTCTTGTCGTCACTGTTATTCTTGTTATTGTGGTCCATGGGCGCTTTTCTCTTAACGTCCGATAGCCACTTCAAAACTTGGGCACGTTCCATTCCGTGTGTAGCAATCCGGTCATGACGGCATAATTCTGTGGTTCGGGGTCGCGTAAAAGTTGGTTGTGATGATCAACAATGGAGATTGACAGTGCCTAGTTATAAACTCTAGAAAGAGCAGGGTAGCTGAGGCAAATCTACCTTCATCGCAGTTTTCGGGTCAACTTCCTGGTACGTGACGGACTAATGCGCCGCGGTTGGCGGATGAATAATATTAGGTGGTAAAAACTGAATTTTCTTTAATAGAAATTTTAATTTTCCCAATGTCAACTTTGACTTGGCGTATAGGAGGCGCGAGTTTCGAGATACCTAATAAGATACCCAAGACATCTAAGAGAGAGCTGGGATGTTGCCAAGCGTCTGGGGAGACCTCCTTCCGTCAATTTTCTCATGCTGTAAGCGAGCCCGCATGGGAATTAGTATTACTATTTCCAAATCTCTGACGCTATTACAATGCTTCACCTTACCCTTGAAATATTATATGAGCCCCTCTCCCCAGCACACCCCAACCGCAGACATGTATGCCACCGCACAGCCTCGCCGGAGGCATCGCATCTCAATCACCGCAAGCCGGTCGCGGAGTTTGCCCTTGAACCACGATGGTCCAGCCGATGAAGAGAGCAGCCCCATAGAAGAAGGCCACAGCCTTGTCAGCGAAAAGATAGATCGTGGTCGACGGGCGTACCTCATCGCGCTCCAATGGTGGGCTGACGAGTACAAATCGGCCATCATCTGCGGCCTCAGTATCGTCATCCTCTGCATCGTGCTCTAGTACTGCGACGGGAAGCTTGTGCCCGCCCTGTCGCCCGGTCTTGACCTCGACATGGTGGTCATTGCCCTCGTCACCATCTCCCGCGTTGCCATGGGAAATATCGTTGAGGCTTGCATATCGCAGTGCGCCTGGATCTGGATTTCCAAATCGCACCAGCGGCGCACCCACACCGTCGCCCGCCTGGAGGACTTCAAGCTCTTTGACGAGGCCTCACGCGGCTTCCTTGGCAGTGTGGCTCTCATCTGGCGCATGAAGGGACTGTAAGCCGTCGTGCTGTCAACCTCAAGGCTTTGGCTTGTTGCTAACTGATTTCTTGACTAGGCATTTGTCTTGCATCGGTGCAACCATCATCATCATCACACACGGCTTTGAAACCTTCTCGCAGCAAATGGTCGACTACGTCGCGAGGCCTGTCGTCTTCAAAAACGAGGCTGAGCGATCCGCGCCGGCGAATCTTCGCAGCGATTACTGGGACAATGTTGAGCAGCGAGATTCGAGCACCAGTATTTCAATCCCAGTCCCTAACGTGGCTCTTGCTAACAGCGTCCAGACTTGACTCTTCAACTTTCAACGAAAGCGGCCATATACACCGGAATTATTGCCCACGAGATCCCAGTTTTAATGCCATCTTGTGATACTGGTAACTGCAGCTGGCCCGTCTTTCCTTCGTTGGCTGTCTGCGGCGAATGCAAGCCAAAAAGTGTGATGGTTCAGTGCAACGGCGAAGGCTGTACTCATTCCGTTTCTCCTAGTACCTCCGTCATCGTCTTGCACGGCGATGGAAACGAGGCTTTCAGGGTGCGGCCAATCACGGAGCACCCGTCACTCAAAGACCAGGGCAGCACAGCTTATCTATCCGTTTTCGAGGCGTTGGCTGCTGCTGAGTACAAGTCGAAATCAAACTCAACAGCCTTTGAGTGTGCTTTATGGGCATGTATGCAAGCGTACGATACGGCCATGAATGATGGTCATCTCAGCCAAAACGTCACCACCATGTGGAATGAAACGCGCGTAGAAAACGCGACAAGTGCTCACCTGGAGGAGTATGTCTTTGTCAATTTCCCGACCCAAATGAACACCCTTGAACGCTCGAGGCACGCCATCTCGACTCGTGCAGTTCAGGCAATTCGCAGGTTCATGGACGGGCTGACAGACGGATGGTATGAGGACAATGTAGGCCGAGTCAGATTTTCTTCCGACTGGGCTGAAGCAATCCATGATGGGATGCCGACCATGTCAAAGTGGATGGAGCAACTGACTCTTAGTCTCAGCAACGAATTTCGGCGGCATGGCAAGATGCAAGATGACCACAGTATCAAATACGAGGGAAGCGCCACGAAAATGGCCAGTTTTGTCAAGGTGAAGTGGTTCTGGATGATCTATCCTCCACTGTGTCTGATTATCAGCGTATACTACCTCTTTGCCACCATCCTTGCGGGGGTCCGCGACGACGTTGCGATCTGGAAGGGCGATTCCATGCCGATGCTCTTCAGCTGCATTCACCCCGATATTCTGCAACTCGGAGCCGGCAAGATGGACACCCACAAGGGACTAGATGAACTTGGTCGCCATGGCATTGCGCTGGCCAAGGCCGAGTCCGGTGCGTGGATGTTCGAGCCGACTGTCGGACCCGAGGATCGACGGGGGCGGCTTCGGCGGGTATTCCGATGGCGAGACTGATTGGGTTGAGCAAGAGGTGATGTTATACAAACCTGGGTATGCCTTGCGAGATGGATACGCGCCTAAAAGGATGCAATTGAAGGGGAGGAGCAAGTATAATTAATAATCATGTGTAGCCAGAGTATTCATCTGTAGCAAACGAATGCAACAACGCACCCTATCATTTCCCATCTTCGCTTTAAACCCCGCTCCCAAGAGATGTAATTCAAAAAAAGTAAAACCGCTCCAAAAGAAACAAAGAAGAACAATCACCATTTGGGCGAGAATTGCTTCATCTCCTCGTCGCTCACACCCTCGCACGCGCCGCACGCGCATCGGAACCCATACCAGCGATACAGCAGCGCCGGCGTCTTCCCCCTCCCGTAGCACACCTTCAACTCCTCCCCCTCCTCCACGCCCGCCCCATCCTCCTTCACCCACAGCCTCAGCCTCCCCCTGCCCTTGTCGTACGCGTAGTGCACGCTGTCCCCCGGCGCGCACGCGTGGTTGAACCTCGCCGCGATCGGAAACAATCCCGCCTCCCTTTCCTCTCCCCCGGTAGCGAAGCTGTTTGCGCCGTCAGTTTTCTATCCCCACCAAAAAAAAAAAGATGCTAAACACAGCAGGAATGACCTTCCTCCC